AGGAACGTGAGCTTACCTTGTGCGCTGGCACAAAGAAAGGAGAGGCCTGGTCTGTCCGGCGTTCACATTATATACCTGTTTGCTATTTGCATAACAATGGTTTTCTTTGGAATGTGGGCTTTGCGCATGCGCAAGAAAGTACGCATAATAAGGGCATAATGTGTAGTATGGTGAAAGAGAACTGTCATGTCTCTGGAATTCACAGCTGGACATGCATCAGTTATTCTTAATTATCCGATGTGATTTGTCCTAAGTTTAATAATATTTTTGCAAGCAAATTGCTCAGCACAGGTTGACACTTTTTTTCTTCCAGATTTAAATTTAAAAGAAAATTTGCGAATGGAGCAAGACTAAATGCAATCAGGTCTATGAGTTATTATGTGGAAAGCAACGCGCTGCCAAGTGTTTTACACGAAGATGACAACACTGGAAATGATTTCGAAACTTTGTTGAATTTGAGCTCTGCAGCTCGTAACGAGCGCAATCCCGAAGACGATGCACGGGATCGCGTTGGTAATGCGCGAAGTCCCGCGGGTAACGCACACAGAAACGTAGATACCACAAGGAGTCCCGCGGGAAACGCGCAAAGTCGCGGAACCAACGACGATGAAGGTGGCTTGTCGTCTTACCTCCGCTGTCCGCAAGAACTTCGTAACAACGTATGTCAAATGTGCAGGGAAATCCGAATACGGATCCATCGATCGATAACCATTCGTGGCGTCCCGAGACTTTTTCTTCTTCGACGATTATTCTGCTTATACTGGATAATCGTGGTTTCGCTTCTCATCTATTTAAAGCTGTATTTTCCTCTTTATTTGATCAGTACTGTCAGTCGAAATACTCTAGAAGAATTTCGGGGTGACTGGTGTCGTGTTCGTGAGGCAAGAACCAAGTGGTTGTCGTTGCTGTCGCCCTGTGACGGGAACACTAGGTGGGGTAACCAACTCGAGGGGTGGTCAGAGGAGAACAGCACAGACCCCATCATGAGTTACATTTCTCTGATGACCATTAACCCTGCCGGCGAGTTCAGTCGAATCAGTATTCAAAGCCAGACCACGAGTGGCTACCCTAAGTCTATCGGAGGAGATTCTTGGGTAGTTCACGTCAGAGGACCTTCCACGCTTGCGCCGACTGTCATAGACCATGGAAATGGGACTTACGAGGCATTGTTCCTCGTGATGGAACCTGGGAAATACTGGGTCCATGTATATCTTGATTATACACTCTGTAATGGGTATAAAGATCCGCCGGATTATTGGTTTGCTAAGGGTAAGTTAATTAACTTCTAGTTAAGTTTTTTTTAAGGGGGGTGGCGAAGGGGGG